CATTATAGTAATAAGATTATTATTATTATTATTATTATTATTATTATTATTCTAGACGAATCTAATGAATTCAATTACGTGCTAATACTCTAGTAAAGGTATGAATCCCCTTCTTCTCCCCCCAGCTGTGGGTAAATAGCAGAACAGATCTTGTATGGTAACTGGTCTACCGCAAAAAGAAATAGCAACCTACTGTGAGAAAAAAATCTGCCTCGTCAGTCATGTATCAAACGATACAGGATCGCCTAAGCGTGTATCGCGCGTGGCACGTAACTGACTGAGATTTATTCAACCATATATGTAATTTTTTTTTTGTTTGTTTGTTTTTTTTTTTTTTTTTTTTTGCTTAGAATCACTGTGGCAGTTTTATCTCAGAGTTTGACATCCTTCTGAGTGAACAGATCTAAGGGGTCTTTACAGGAGAATCGACGTTTTTGCCTTTAAGAGGATTCTGTATGAATCTAAATAAGACGTACCCCCGGAAGTTCACGGCAAAGAGAGTTGGGTGGAAGCAATAGGAAATCTCGGCCACGCTGTACTAATGTCCGGAAATAAAAAAAAAAAGATCAATTTTCATGTTCAACAGGATATCAAATAATTCCCGACACACAGGAACCCTTGGGAGTATGGGGACCAAATGCTGGGAATATAGGACTCGATTTCTGGATAGATAGTTACGATATCCTTATTGGAGATGTTAAAACACTACCTGTAATGTTTAACAGAAAACTGCCGAAGTGATTGTAAGCAAAAAACGTACATATATGGTTGAATGAATCTCAGTCAGTTATGTGACGAGGCAGATTTTTTACTCACAGTAGGTTGCCATTTCTTTCTGCGGTGTAAAATAATAATGATAATTTTATTCTTCATGGCGATCTATTAAGGAAACACAACGGAGGATGCACCAAGACGCAAGAAAAAGTAAGCCACCTTATGTACATGGACCAATTCAATCAGTTATGTGGCATGAAAGATGCACTCTTAGGCGATCATGTATCTTTCGATACATGACTGACGAGGCAGATTTTTTTTTCTCACAGTAGGTTTCCATTTCTTTCTGCGGTAGACCAGTTACCATTCAAGGTCAGTCCTACTATTTACCCATAGCTGAGAGGAGAAGAAGAGGATTCATATCTTTACCAGGGTATTTAACATTAAAGAAGTCAAGATTCATTTGGAAGTTCTAAGTTTGAGGGTTACTTTTCAGATATTGATGATCTTAGCAGGGATTCTATTTGGATACAAAACCCTTTCTCATTTGATATATCGAGAATGAGTGATAACGATTTATGAAAGAATAATTTCATTGAATTCCAAGAGGACCCAAGAAAGAAAGCTGATTTCGAAAGGGCTGGGATGGATGTCAAGCAGTTTTGGTTGAATAAATCTCTGCTTACCCAAGTTTGGCAATTAGGGCAATGCAGGTTTTGATTCCCTTCACAACTACGTATTTCTGTGAAACAGGATTCTCCGTATTATTAAATTTGAAATCAAAGTGAGGAAATCGACTTGATGTGTCAGATGACATGCAAGTAGCTTTGTCAGTAACTGTACCACGATTCCATGCTTTGATTGCACAAAAACAACAGCAAATATCTTATTAGATTAGTAAAAGTCTGTTTTGTGTAGTCGAGATACTAAAAAAAACTTGCACATTTATGTTCTCTTCCTTTTTCTTGTGTAATAAAAAATGAATTATAACTTTATTTTTGCTTTCAATAAAGAAAAATATAATAAAGTTATCAATGTTTATGGGGTTTTTTTTCCATGTTCTATTCCTAGCAATCCATCTCTAAAATACAGTAAATTCAAGCGATTGAAATATTTGGAAGACATACTGGCAAATAAAAGGATTGGTGATAATTATTTCGACAGTCAAGTAAAGTGAGTATGGAACCATATTGGATAATTCGTTGAGGGTCTGGAATCATCAAAAGGTTAAGAACCTCTGGTTTAGAAAAACGCATAGAAATGTCCGCTTTCAGAATTCGTATATAAGTCATAAATAACATAAAAGATTGACAAAAGCTACAAATATTTGTTCCAACGTTATTTCTGTTATGTCAAAGAACACTCATTGCCACTTTTGTATTGCCAACAAATGCTCGTTGTCAGTTTGGTAATGGTCGTTATAGTAGAGACTTTGTAATCGCAGATCTAACTATAGTACGCTGTTAAACAATACTGGTGTAAGACGCCTTCGAATATATTGTGGCCTGTTATGGACCAGAAAGAAAGACACGGTAAGAAGAAGGTAGGTTGAACAAGTGTATTGAAATAACAGATCATATATATATATATATACAAAATAAGTGTGTTATTAGTCAGCAGATAGTAGTGTCCGTCCGAACTGTCAGATTACACTGCGTTCCGACTGCTGATATTTAGCAGTCCCCCAACGCGGGGTGTATGTGGCACAAGGCCTGGTTTACCGTGGGTTCTCCGAGCCCATAGGCTCGGCCAAGAATATCCCCACATAACCCACATAAACGGGTTTGGGTCTGTCTACCACCCCAGACGAAACTGCACTTCGGCATAGCTTCGTCCGGGTTCCTCTCTGCCAAAGCATAGAGTTCCACAGAAGTCGCACACAGTCAAAGACTGCGTCCCAACTGCCATATTTAACAATCCCCCCACACAAGGGTTGTATGTGGCACAAGGTCGAGTTTACCGTGTGTAATCCGATCCCGTAGGCTCGGCCAAAAATATTCCCTTAGAACACGCATAAACGCGTCTATCCCCCCGGACGAAAATCTGCCCTTCTGCGAAGCTTCGTCCGGGTTCCTCTCTGCCAAAGCTGCGAGTTCGACAGAAGTCGCACACAGTCAGAGATTGTGGGTCGACTGCCGATATTTAACAGTCACCCTACGAGGAATTTATGTGGCACAGGGCTGAGTTTAACGTGGGTTTCTCGGAGCCCGTAGGCTCGGCCAAAAAATATCTCCTTTGAACCCGCTTATATGGGTCCAGGGCCTGTCTACCTCCCCGGACGAAAATCTGCCCTTCAGCAAAGCTTCGTCCGGGTTCGACGGAAGTCGCACACAGTCAGAGACTGCGTCTACGTCTGTCTGCCTCAGGAAGTCTCACAGGTTAGTATTTATAAAGAAGGAAGAATTCATTCTAATGTAAATAGGTCACCATAACATATAAATCACTCGCACTAATAGTACTTGCTCGATAATACTCGGTCGAAAAGTAACCTCCGTATAGTGACCAGTATAACAAAAGAGAATGGTGAATAGTATAGAGATAGAGGATAGTGTAGAAAGAGTGATCCGTATAGTAATAGAGGATAGAATAGAAATGGTGATCAGTTAGATACCACGCTAATTCCCATATATGAGTTTTCCTTATGGCCACTTGATCTATCAATGGGATCACCTGTGTTTGCTCTCTGGGGATCCGTGTTCAAACTCCAGTGTCGGCAGCGACACTGTACACCTATACAACAATTATATAGACAGCAAACAAATGCTAAATGACTGACACATAAGCTGAGGGCGCGAATAGATGAAAGAAAGTATCAAATCCGATAATAGAAGGATTTAATTAATTTCCTTGAAATATTCCAATATCTACGATTTGGCAGATTTCTTTCTTTCGTCGTCTGGGCCGGGTGGCGATACCCTGCATGTAACCTTAAATCTCTGTTTAGTTGACCAACTTCACACTTTTATGTTCTTGTACCATTGAGTAAAAGGTGACAGATTTACAAATTAAAGATTCCTTACTTTACACAAAACGCTGCTTGTCGGATTTCATCTGATATATCGTAATACGATGAAGTTTTCCACCGACATTCATACCCCTCTTGAAGCTGGAAACCAGTCATCTGCAACTAAATAAATACCACAGTCATTTGCGCTAAACGACCGAAAAGGAGAATTAAGGGTTGTATAAATATAGAAGGTTAATCAAAAGTCAAGTAGTAGTTTTTGTAAATCCGAGAAAAAGACGAGAATAAACTATACCTCTATACTATAGAAATATAATAAATTAAATCAGTTGAGAATATAATTGTAAAATTTGATTCAATTATTTGTCCTGTTGAATTGCTGCAGCTAAAAGTGATGACTTATTTGTTTATCGAACTTACCGTGACGTGGGAAACAAATATTCCGTCGGAACTCGAAAAGTGCATTGTTAATGTAAGAACAGAAATTTCAATGCGGTGGAAAAGATTAGAAATGACATATCTTTCTCCCTAAGAGTAGTCCCGAAGACTATATAAGTAAATCAATTATTTGAATTCTGAAAGAACAAACTGAAACTATATTGAAAAAAAAAAAACGAGAGAAAAATGTAATGACTTAACTGATTAGGAACTTTTTGCCTCATAGTTGTTTAGGTTCACCTTACATTCCATCTTATATACTCTCAAATATATGTCATTTTCTAGTGCTTCATTAAAAGAAATGATGAAATCAAGTATAGCAGATCCTATATAAAAGTAAATACATTACGATACAGGTAACAGTCTTAAAGATTATCTACCACTAAAAAATAGTGAAAAGTTTATAATGCCAGAAAATATTATAAAACTGAGACAAAATTTGAATTTTCAAGACGTAAAAGTTGCTTTGTTCTTAAGAAACAATACTCATAAAAGTTAAAAGATGAAATTTATTTCGATATTTGTTTAAACTATTGATCACATTTTCTTTGTTGATTTTACACTTAATGCAACCTTTCGACCGATCCTTTCTAAGGTTTTCCTCAGATTTACTTTATGTTTGACAAGATGTGGGCACTATTTAATAACATTATTTACACCCAAACTAATGTCCTCATCTTTGTTGTTGTTATCGAAACGTTTCGGTCGTTATGCTCTCCTGTCTTCATCGAGTGTCTGTCGATCCACATAACTTTCCAAAATGTTCGAACTAAAACGATTATTTCTACTATAGTGGTAAATAGATCGCATTCCGCTGTTCCTGTTTAGGGTCTAGTTCTTATATAATAGTACTCCAATATTACTCAACCTGTTTCCACTAAGTTTAAGAAAGAAAGAAAGAAAGAAAGAAAGAAAGAAAGAAAAGAAAGAAAAATGAGAAAGAAAGAAAAAAGAAAGAAAAGAAAGAAACAAAGAAAGAAAGAAACAAAGAAAAAAGAAAGAAACAAAAAAAGAAAGAAACAAAGAAAGAAAAATGAGAAAGAAAGAAAAGAAACAAAAAAATAAAAAAGAAAGAAAGAAAGAAAAGGAAAGAAAAAAGAAAGAAAGAAGGAAAGAAAGAAAAGAAACAAAGTAAAGAAAGAAACAAAGAAAAAGAAAGAAAAAATAAAAAAAGAAACAAAGACGAGAAACAAAGAAAAAAGGAAAAAAGAAAGAAAAGACACAAAGAAAGAAAGAAAGAAAGAAAGAAATGACGCAAACAAAAAAAAAGAAACAAATAAACAAAAAAAGAAACAAAAAACACAAAAAAAAAGAAAAAGGGAGCATCTCCTCCGGTACAATAGCCTAGTGGATTAAAACTTGTCTTCGTGACGTTAATATAGTAATTGTGAGTTCAAATATGTGGGCCAAGATTTGGGCACCTCGGCGTGGTGTAATGGTTAGCAAGCTTGTCTCGCTAGGACAATTACGACTGAGTAGTGAGTTTGATCCTCACTGGATGCTCCATAATTCCGGCCTTGTGCCGCATCTAAGCAGCGTTTAGAAAATCACTATGTCAGCCAAGATTGAACTTACAATTACTATGTCACGGGAGGCACGTTGGAGTAATGGATAGCGAGGAATATTACATCCTAATATTATTAGGAAATCCTCTTCTTCTAAAGCTATGACAGACCGGGATGGCAATTGGTCTACCGCAGAAAGAAATGCCAACCTACTGCGGGGAAAAAATCTGCCTCGTCAGTCACGTATCGAAAGATACATGATCGCCTAAGCGTGTATCACGCATGGCACATAACCGACTGATGTCACCAACTTCAAAAACCGTCGCCTTAATCAGCTAGACTATTGAGATAGCGGTGTTTTCTTTCTGGTTATGTTCACAAATGCCGTACAATGAAGACCTGTTGTTTTGTTTAGTGGCATATCAACACCTATATGGGTTATTTAATGCCGAAATCTGAATATTTTTTGCGAATTTTATTTTTATTGAAGATTGTAATGGTTTAGTGATACAAGTCTTACTAATTAACCCGTATCTGGGGGAGAAGAGGCGGATTCATGCCTTTCGCAAGGGTATTTGCATGTCAGTGAATATAATGAACCCAACTGGAATTGGAACTCGGCTCTCCGATGAACAATTCCGGACGATTATCCGTTACACTACCCACACATTCAAGCTTCCAACACATATTCTCAAGCGTTCACCCATCTAGGTACTGACCAGGTTAAGTTGCTTAACTTCGGCGATCGTACAAAAACTAGTGTTTTAATGTAATATATCCGTACGCACTTTATATCACTCGCTCATCCAAGCTTACAGCTACGTATTTCCAAGCGCTCACTCTAGGTACTGACCAGGCTCGATGATGCTCAACTTCGGTAATCATACAAGAAGGGATTTCTCAAAATAAAATATCCATAAGCCTGTGAGCTAAAGAAAGTTTGATTGTACACTTGTAAAAGGCCGGAGAATAGCTCGGTCGAGGCGTGCGGTATTCACTAAAGCGCCAAGATAGATATACTGTCTGAAAATTTGAGAAGAGTCATGAACATTTCAAAAGAGTTTTTTTAGTGAAAATTTCTCTTGCTAAAGATAATTTTGAATAATGATTTATGTAGGTAAATATGTATGAGAAAAAGCAATAGCTAAATAGATGAGTGAACATCAGGAGAGGTAAGGGCGTATATCACATTCCATGTGATGAAAAGAAGCACCTTTGGAGACTTAGGAAGTTGAAAGAAGCGGTTGGTATCGGGATGTCTGCCAGATGCCTAATTTACGTTAGTACGCATTTAAACAGTAAGTAGTTTTCTTCGCTTAGCAAAAAAAAAAAAAAAAAAAGATACGAAGGAGTTATTTTATGTATTACTTAGAATCCCTGGATAAGGTGGGTGACACTACTGATTGATTGATTTTTTACGACTTATCAACACTTATGAACATTTTGTACATCAAAACATATTCTTGGATTCCAAGAATAACTATTTTTTCAGTGTGAATATTGTAATAACAGTTTTTTTTTTAGATAATAATGATTTCCAAATAAACATTCTACTATTTAACCTATAACTGGGGAGAAGACGCGACGGATCCATACCTTTTCCAATGCTATTTGCGCGTAACTGAATATAACGAAACCGACTGGGATTCGAACTCGGCTCTCAATCTGAGCCATTATCCATTAAGCCACAATGGCAATCATGGCTCTCCACGGCTTTCTATATTTTGTTTTCTACACCAATTATCCCTGTTAGTTTGTTATGCTATTCTACTTATAGGATCTTATTTTTCTTTCAGGAAACAGAAAACAACGGTTCTCCACAGCTTCCTATATTTTTGCCTTCACCAATGCTTGTTCCTTTGCTAATTTTCTTTGTCGTTGTAGTATTTGTTATTTATTATTTCAAAGTTGTCAAGTTTGTGACCTGATATTTCCTCAGCGCCATGTGAATGTTAAATCATCCAAGCCTTCTTTCCTCAATGCATCCCAAAATTTTGTAGCTGTTCCTTTCTGATTATCAAAACTTATCGATCCTATTCGCCTTAAAATTTCTTCATTTGTCACATGCTCTGTCTATAGAATAAGAGATATTTAACAGTAGAACGACATCTTGATTGTTGTGACGATATTTCATGTAGGAGGATAGATATTAAATGATATTCAAATATATTTTTTTTTAATTTTCGATCCCTTGATACCGGAGTTAGTTTCTGATAAGCATCTTTCGTTATTCTCTTCCGTTTTCTCTCATACTTCCTGTCACCTTGTATTATATAATCCAAATAGTTGACCTTCGACACTTGTCTCATTTCTATAAATGAATGGAAATGATTTGGTTACTATTTGCCCAGAACCCTGTGCTTTCAATATCCATTCATCTCGATTGAGTAGTTACAGCTATACTATACTTTACTACAGACAGCAGGAACTGTAGTCGCTGATTAGGAGAATCAACAACTTATCTGCATGAACCACATAAGCTCCATCTTCAACATGTGTTAACAATACAGGAAACAGAATCGATAGTCTGAGTTCTAATTTCGACTGACGTTACTTTTTTCCACTGTGCGCAATTGCTCTTGGGAAAGGCAAGAATTCACTTCTTTCAACGTTGGGTACTATTGTCAGATCGTTTCACAGAAAAAAAAAGAATGCCTCGTCGTGAAATGTCATTGACAAGACATTTGGTCAACATATTTTCAGATAAAGCAAGAAAAATTGAACTAATGCTATATCTAAACTGTTATGTGTGTATAGAGAGCATTCTAAACTCAATCGTTAAAATGGTTTTGAGCGTGTGGAGCCTGTAGGTTTTGGTACAGACCATCGCTCTTCGAACTTTTTAAAACTGGTGCACTTAATCTCAAAGAACAGAAACATGACTTGAAGACTTTCTGGCGTCTCGGCTTTAGACACTTTCCTACCCCCGTAAGGTTGCCTTTCTCTGTCTTCTCTATAAATACTTTCATGATAATTGTTCGAACTTAATGCTTTCAAGAAAAAAAAAAACACTCAACAGAACAGGCCCCCAAATTCACCGATAGCATAGCTTTCTAACATTTATAGAAATAAGCAACTCATAAAATGAGTCTGCGATGAATGCACACCGGAAATAAAGATGTTTTCTAAATTACGAATTAAATTTCCGACTACTACTGTTAGTTTCATGGTGTACCGACTCATTTTAAGATCAGCTTCTTTCTATTACTACATATATATATATATATATATATATATACAAATATAGGTAACTATACTCGTTTCGAAAAGCCTTCGATTTTTTGATTTGCCAATAATCAAATCAATCTCGAGGGAAAAAAAGGTTTTTAAAAAAGAAAGAGCTAGAAACATGAAAGTCTGTCGAAAAAAATCGCACAGATACAGGTTTGAAGCCCAAAGAAAAAAAACCCGACACGTGTAAACAACTTTCCTGACGATCCGCTTAGGTGAAACCTGGATAGGTTTGTCTGGCTCACTAGGCTTATCTATCTATCTATCTATCTATCTATCTATCTATATATATATATATATATATATATATATATATATATATATATATATATAATGGATTTAAAATATGTTTTTTTCGCCACACAGTAATAACCATGTTTCAAAAATGAAAGCTAAAAGCTTCAAATTTAATTTTGTAAATTTTCGACTAACTTATTTTTTAAATTTACTGAGTTTTAAAGGCAACGAAAAATTCATAATTCACTGTTTCCAAAGATACAGAGAGATCCAATCACTTAGACAATGGGTGGTAGCGTGTTCATTTTTTTTTATTATTTTATTTTTTTAATAAAAATGAACTAGCTACCACCCCTTGTCAGTTTCCTTCTTATATTCCGCACTCAGAAAGTTTGTCACTACTGACTTCAGTGACTGCCTGGCGCAAAATTCAGCTTCGTTTAGTGTTTCGTCAAACATTAGGTCCTTCATGAGGGCCGTGAAATATACTGGTCTTGAGTTTCTCCATGTTTATCCGTGGGAACAACCTCTGGAGGGAAGCAAACCCGCTGCCTTCGCTGTCCATTACCTTCACAAAGTGCTTCATTACCCCTGACTTAATATGTAAGGGTGGAACCAGTATTTAGTTCGGGTCGGCAAGAGGGTGAGATTGAATGTTATGCGATCCAGGTTTTAACCCTTGTCTTAAGTACCATTCTTGACTGACATAATGTTGGTCATCAGCGCAGCTGCCCACGAAACGCAGAAAACAAGGATATCTTGTGTACCCACGCTGAAGCCCTAGGCCCAGTCCAACCACCTTAAGATCTCTGCAGATCAACCATTTGTGCTCCCGATACTTAAAAGTAGACAGCAAATGATCCATGCTGTTGTGAGTTTCTTTCATTTGTACTGAATGTCTAATAGGGATAAATGAAAATCTATTCGCATTATGTACAAGAACTGCCTTGAGATTTCTGCTGGATGAGTCAATAAAAAGTCGACATTTTGTAGCATCATACTCTAAGCCCATTGATTTAATTTGATCAATCCAGCAAGGTTGTTGCAATAAACCAATGGAACCTGAAAGACTGTCTTAATTCTCCGTCTATATTTCTGGGATGAGGTATTACGTACACTATTTACATTATTCGGATTATTGTCCTTATCTTTGTCGCCATATTTATTACAACGTTTCAGCCCTTGTACGCTCCGGCCTTCTTCAGGTGGTTGGAATGTCGAACTGAACCCTTTATTTCGCTCACTGGGGTAGACTGTCCTAGTTCCACGTGAAATGGATGTCAGTTATCAGTTATCTCCTGTAAATTTCCCTCGGAAAGTTCTCCACTGCCTTAGTCGGGTATTGAACTCACACTCTTTGGGTCCTGTCACTGGACCTAACTAACGACTTTATCTACTTTGCCATGTGTCCTTGAGGACATCTGTGTATGAATTTCTGGGTATTATAAACCTAATGTCTTCAACAACCATTTTTTACCAGTGCTCATATTGCAGTTTTGGCTGTTATCATATCATGTTTTTACCAGAGCTCATATTGCAATTTTTGTTGTTATTATCGCTTTTCTCTGGCACTCCTTATTACTGGTTCCCATATTGTATTCATTTCTATGCTTGGTCGGCTCAGGAGATTTTTGTGGCCTAGCATATGTGCTGATCCCTTAAGTTTACGAATTTTACAATGGTGTTCTTTATCTATGATCTCAACCTGATCTCACAGAGTGCGGTGATCTCCCTTCTCTCTTCATATGTGGTCAGCCACGCCTGATTTTTCCACTTCCTGGTGTTCTTGAAGCCTTACCTTAAGAGGGCGGCCTGTCTCCCCTTTATATTTCTTTCCGCAGCTGCATGGTATAGCGTACACACAGTCTTTAGTCATGTTCTCCTCTATGGGGGGGGTCTTACTCGAGAGAGATATCTGCGAAGTGTCGTCAAGCTTTTGAAGGTTGTCCTGATGTTATATGGACCGCAGATCCTTTGTATTTTCTCTGATAACCCCTTCACATAAGGCAGGCAGACACTGTTTTCTGATTGTTGTTGTACTCCTCCTCTTGTACCCGCCTATCCCAGTTTTGGGGGGCTGCTGACATGTACCAAGGGTAGTTGTTACGTTGTAGGGTACTACTTATACTGACCAATTCTTTATCTAATGTCTCTGGGTCGCCACTTATGAATTTGCTCGGTGTTGTAAGCAGTGGACGATCCCTTTCTTTACGCTGTATGGATTATGGGAGTTGAAATTCAGGTACTGTCCGGTGAATGTTGGTTTACGGTATACGGATGTCTTGAACTCATGCTCTGGTCAAGATATTAGAAAATCCAGGAATTGCGATCTATTCTTACAGAAATACAAATGTCAAGCTGAAAGGAGAAAAAATAAATCAGCACTCAGCTCGTCGTTGACACTTGACACAATAGATTAAAATCATTTTAAGCTGAGGGATAAGCCCCGACCAATCTAGATATGTGGGTGTAAGCGAGTAGCGTGGTATACTCTAATTAGATATACATACAACATTATATGCTAAACATCAGCCACCCACGATCAGCTGTGACAAGTAGAGTCCATAAAGTGTTATTATCATGTACAACTTGTTGTGAAGTATTCAAGAGCATCTTAAAAACCAGACGTGACCAAACACAATGAACGATGCTTTTGAATTCAGCATTAAATGGCGATCATATATCACTTGATAGACCTTTGATCTTTGGAGAAAAAAAATTAACATAGGCCAGTGTTATTATTAATATGTTAATAATAGTAATTGTTGTTTTGATGGTAAATTTAGTTTAGTGTTTTACTTTAATTTTCCCTGTATACGAACAAGAGCTTATTTTTTGGACACTGGGTGTGCCGAAATTGACCAAATGATTCTTCGTTCCGAGAGATTTCGGCTAATCTGCTAGACATTTTCAAGGATGTTGCTTGCGCTATTGCAAATATTGCGTGGGTTAATACAGAGAGAAAGACAGTGCTTTATTTTTTAGCTGAAAAATAAATAAAAAGTTGGGTTAATTGTAGAGAAGCAGCTATAAATGTAAACAAAATGTTTATTTTGGGATTTATAGTTGCTCGTTGGAGTTCGCACTTAGTAGCGGCGCTGACCTGAATCTCACGGCTTGTTACACTTTCTGTGCCTTTTGAAAAGTTACTTTTTTTTCGGACATATTTTTTGCATTATTTTATGAGTCATGTTCTGGAATAGAATTTGCATACGGGAAATATAAATATTAAACAGAAAGGAAATACAAGGGACCGATTAAAATACAAAGATATGAACAGATCGAAAGAGGTAGATGTGATCAGAATGAGATAGATAGAGAGAGAGAGAAAGAGAAGTTGAGAGAGAGATAGGTCCAACTAGAATGAGATAGATAGATAGATAGATAGATAGATATGAAAATACAGAGATAGATAGATATGAAAAAACTGAGATAGATATGAAATACTGAGATAGATAGATAGATAGATATGAAAATACTGAGATAGATAGATAGATAGATAGATAGATAGATAGATAGATAGATAGATAGATAGATAGATAGATATGAAAAAACTGAGATAGATATGAAATACTGAGATAGATAGATAGATAGATAGATAGATAGATAGATAGATTGCTAGTACCTAGCTAGGTGACCACTTGGGAATACTAGGTGCTGTAAGCTTGGATGTGTGGGTGGTGTAATCGATAACGGCTCGGAATTGGAAATTGGAGAACTGAGTTCCAAATCCAGTCGAGTTCGTTATATTCAATGACACGCAAATCTCCTTGAGGAGGGTATGAATCCACCTCTTCTCCCCCAGCTATGGATTAATTAGTAGAACTTGTATCAGTAAAATCAGTATCTCGAAACAATATTTTCTGGCTTTAAATATCCCGCGAAAGGTTGATAAGCCGTTAAAAAGCAAATAAATCCTTTAAATGTCCTGATTTGTATCAAGTTTTTTGTATCTGCCTTCTTCTTCTTCTTCTTCTTCTTCTTCTTCTTCTTCTTCTTCTTTGTGGCGTGTCTCTTCTGAACTTTGGCAATCATGGCTCTCCACAATTTCCTTTCATTGTGGATCTTAATTAATTGTGTCTTTATTAATCTCACCTAAACTTTGATCCGCTATCTATTTACTGAAGCTCTCTAGGTAGGTTATGCATTCATTTCCTTTATCTCTCTTGCCTACAATCTGTCCTCTGAGTGTTACACTTTCCAAGCCCCCTACACGTGATTAAAATACCAATACTCTTTAGTTGCGGTTGGATTGCTAATAATGTTGTCGGGCCGTCGATGAGTAACGTTCTCCTCTTAGCAAATTAAAAATGACATCCCTAGAGAGCTATTCTAATATTATGGATGTTGCTCATAGAAAATGATGGATACTTTAGTTTTCATTGAGCTCGACAAAATATAAACACTTCAGCTGTTGGAGTTTATCTAATCAGTACACAATTCGGTGAGACGTTATGTTTATATTGCCTTGTATGTTCCAGGCTATAAATATAATTAATGTTTCGTTAAAGGTTAACGGATTTTGTGTCCTTATTACCAGATGTTCATGCTCACTGTTTGGATCTACGGCGGAACATGAAGTTAATACTCTGATAAAGATACGTTGAAATTGCGATTCCAATACCTATATTGTGATGAAATATATATCACTTTACTGTCAAGATGAATTTCGTAAGAAAATATTGAGAGTTCTTTTTCTTCGTGCATGCTTCTCCACAACTTCCTATCTCGTGTGACTCTTAGTTTTTCTCTCTTTACTAGGGCTCCACTCTACGGTCTGCATCCATTCGCACAAGCTAGCCAGGGAAATGGATCACTGTCTTTGTCTATATCACTTAGCCTCAATATGCGTCGTGAGGGTTAAGATTTCCAAGCCCTAGAAGGTTGCTGAATAGAAAAAAAAAACGCCGGAAAAAAGGCTTGCATGGCCATCATGATCATCACCTACCCCTGATTTATGTAATTGCACCGCGGATCCGAATGCATAAGCCACACTAACTCTTTTCCACAGCGATCTATCAGCAGCAGCCTTCAGCAATTCTTGTCCAGTCATACCTGTCCATTGTTTGACATTGTCCAACCAGTTTTTGCGTTGGCGTCCTCTTCAACGGTGCCTTGCATAATGGTCTTTCACAGGCTGTCGTGACTTGTAATGTGTCTAAACCACGTTGTTTGACAGTGGCGAGAAGAGGTTTCTGGTGTCCCGCAAAACTTTCAACCCGTTTCCGCACAAACTCATTGGTTTTTGTCAAGGAGTTTTCTCATGCATTTGTTCTCAAACACTTGGATCCTCCTCTTTGTTTCTGGCAACAGTGTCCACGTTTCACATCTATATAAGAGAATGGAGACTACCAGTGATTTTTACAGTCTGTACTTTGTTTGAAGCTGCTTCTTGTCAACTTGGCCATGGCTGTGATGGCTGCGGCAATCCGGGTGCAGATTTCCGAGTTGCCGGTACCATCTTTAGACAAGATTGTTCCTAAGTATTTAAAACTGGACACTTCCTCCAGTGAATTCCCATTTATGGTAATGTTGACACAAGTGTTACTGCTTGTGCTATTCACCATTATTTTGGATTTCTCACAGCTGACCTCTATTCTATATGCTTTCAGAAAGTTTGTTAGTCAAATCCAGGATTTGCAGGGTACGATAGACGAAACATTTTAGACTATAACAGGCAAAAGGAAGACACTAAATCTAATAGATCAGTGAATGATATTGTTACTTCCTCATTTTACGAAATTCATTTAAACTCCCCGATTATCGAACGCAATAAGAACACGGTGAGGTGCGTACAACGAACGAAACATTTTCGACCGTAACATGCAAAACTCTAGCACTTGTTCCTTACCTAGATGGGTAACTGCTTGGAAATACTAGCTTCTGTAATGTTGGGTGTGTGGCTGGTGTAACGGATTACGGATTGGAATTGCAAATCGGACAGCCGAGTTACAACTGCAGTCTGGTTCGTTATGTTGACATAAACGCAAAGTCTTGGGAAAGGCATGAGTCCACCTCAGCGCGTAAATCTCTCCTTGGGGGGATTTCGCATTATTTATCATCTCTCAGTTGCGTCTCTGTCTTTAGACAGAGTGCGCTCGGGGGCTTCTCTGTCAAAGGACAGATGGGGCAAATCCTTATTATCTCTAAAAAATCTTACAATTTAAAAATATTTGTTTGGCTTTAAATAACCTGCAAAAGGTTGATAAACCGTCAAATCAGTCAATCTAGAACAGACATTTTTCACGGAAGCTATAGGCGTGTATAGGCCTGTGGCGTTACTTTCAAGTAAAATATAATATTTATTAAATATGAAAATAGTCTTACGTTATGCCTTTGTACATTCTTATATTATTAAGGTACCGATATTCAGAGAACGTAAAACGAGTACTTCGTTACTTATTTCAATGCATTCTTTTACTTATAATTATTACCACGTGACGCAAACAAGAGTCAAAGCCTTTTTTTTAAATAAATCAACCGTAAAAAATAAAGAGTGCCTTTTTTATAGCTATCTGTCATTTATATTATTATCAATTAAGATTGTTTTTACATTGACATCAGTACTGAAGTATGTGACTTAGCGTTCATCCGAAGCCGAGCGTCCTCGTTCGCCCAAGTCGCACAGTATTTCTGTTCTCTCCTACTCGCCGGTCTTCCGCCGGTGACCACTTCTAGTTCGTCCCGCCTTCTCCTCTCTACTCTAGAAGTACCCACTTCTATGACCACAGGGCGTATGAATTGCGATCACTTGTTGGGGCGGTTTAGATTAATTGTGTGCCGGTTCCCGCACTTGTGGAGATAATGATCTAGGGGGCCGTGACACCTTTGTGCTGCGTCGCAGATCATGTCTTGCTGGCAGTTGCAAGATTGGGGGTTGATTTTCGTCCACTTCAGTTTCTGCATGATCCTCCACCCTCTCGTCGCCGTCTGCCTCATCTACTTTCATATTTTCCGGTGTGTTGTATAGAGGTTCCATACTCGTAGGTATTAGCCTTTGTTTGGGGCGGTTGTGTTATTGGTCGTTGCCCCGATATGTGCTTGGCAACGCCAGATATCTGGATGTGCAATCAGGTGTGGTGTTCAGCTTCACTAGAACGTAATTAATTAACTTGTACATCAGCGACCGTTCTTTGAAAACAACTAGGCGTTTTTTTTAATTCTTCAGGATCTATTCTGAAAATATTTTTACCAGTGGTTGGTGATCCACTGTGACCAGTAGGTCTGGACATCCCAATATGAACATTCTACAGGGCTATGGATACCATACACGAGCTCTATGGATTTCCCTTCTACGTGAAGAGAGATTCTGCGTCTTTTGTAAACTGGGATCCGACTAGGATCATTTTCCAGGGGTTCTCACCACATTTAGGACCGGATTCTTTTGGGAATCGACAGTGTTTTTGAAAAAGGAAGTACCCAATGCCGATCTTACAAGGTCCGTCGAGAGACATGTCGTTCTATCCATCTCAAACGTTTCCATCCCTTTCTCGATCATCCGTACAATGTTTCGTTTCGACTCCTCAAAAAGTTCGTTCAGCGTTGGATCCCAGTATAATTTCCGGTCTGTCGTGCGTAACATTTCTCGGACGTGGGGCCATTGCTTCGGCCTACGAGAATGCTTACGATACCTGATTCACTAATCCGAACCGGACTTGTCGGAGTAGGGAAGTTGAGATTGGCTTCTCTCATTCTTTTGCTTGGCTTTACGCCATCAGTCGTTATTAAGACGCCGGCAAAATCCCCTTAGTCTTTGAAAAATTAAAACTTGTCGGGGTTGAAACCTATTCCATTCCTATCGCAGTGGGTAATGTATTACAACGTGTGCCAGCAGGCTAATTCTATGGACTCGTCCAAGAAAAGAGCGCTATCAATGCAACAAGACTTTCGGTGTGTTATATTATCAACTCGGCAGGTGTACCCATCCCCCGATGCATGGGTGATCTAAGATACCGGCACCGGCCCCATCCTGGTTCCGTCTCACGCAGCAAGGCTGAATGGTAGGCTGTGGTACCAATTCCACGCATCCAGAACTGTTTTCTTGATTCGGGTTTGTACAATGGACACTTGATTAAACGGAGACTGGGTGTGGTGGATCTCCCTCGTCGTAGCAGCATTTATCTTTTAGTCCACTATCCTTCTGGGTGACCCATCCTTTTTTGGTGCAACTACCATTCATGAGCACCAAGTTGTCTTGGTGCGTGCTGGTACCGGTTCGATTATATTAAGTACAACGTCTCGGTCGAGGTCTTGTTTTATCTTCTTTTTTCAGTAGTGAGGAACCGGAAACTGCTGACAGTGTCGCCCCCTTGAACAAAAGTTATGGCCAATGGCCTTCCCGTCATCAACTGTAATGGTTGGCGTTGGGATGTGTTAAACGCGCTCGATCTAAAATGGTCCCGTAGACATCAGTCTAAAAAGTTCTTATTGCTTTCGATAAGAGGGGACGAGATGTTGGCCGGTTCATCTGGGAACGTCGTTTTTCGGGGACACCCACCCAATGAGGTGGCCAACGCGTTATTTTTGTGCGTCAGTTTTTGGAAATTGTGATGTATCAACTCCAGATCTTTTCGTGCCGATTCCGAAAGACAGAACCTGGATGCGTTCTCTAACGCATAAACGACTTGCTTTGGTTTTTCTGTGATCGACACTGATGCGCACGAAGAGTGTGCCTTTAATACACAGCTGATCGTTTGTTATACCGCGTATCCTATGGTTGGTGGTACCGGGTGATCGTTTGTTATAACGCGTATCCTATGGCTAGTTGGTACCGGGTGATCGTTTGTTATAACGCATATCCTATGGCTAGTTTGTTCCGGGTGATCGTTTGTTTTACCGCGTATCCTATGGTTAGTTGGTACCAGGTGATCGTTTGTTATACCGCGCATCCTATGGCTATTTGGTACCAGGTGATCGTTTGTTATACCGCGTATCCTATGGCTACTTGGTACCAGGTGATCGTTTGTTATACCGCGTATACTATGGCTAGTCGGTACCAGGTGATCGTTTGTTATACCGCATATCCTATGGCTAGTTGGTACCGAGTGATCGTTTGTTATACCGCATATCCTATGGCTAGTTGGTACCGGGTGATCGTTTGTTATACCGCATATCCTATGGCTAGTTAGTACCAGGTGATCGTTTGTTATACCGCATATCCTATGGCTAGTTGGTACTGGGTGATCGTTTGTTATACCGCGTATCCTATGGCTACTTGGTACCAGGTGATCGTTTGTTATACCGCGTATACTATGGCTAGTCGGTACCAGGTGATCGTTTGTTATACCGCATATCCTATGGCTAGTTGGTACCGAGTGATCGTTTGTTATACCGCATATCCTATGGCTAGTTGGTACCGGGTGATCGTTTGTTATACCGCATATCATATGGCTAGTTAGTACCAGGTGATCGTTTGTTATACCGCATATCCTATGGCTAGTTGGTACTGGGTGATCGTTTGTTATACCGCCTAGCCTATGGCTAGTTGTTACCGGGTGATCGTTTGTTATACCGCGTATCCTATGGCTAGTTGGTACCAGGTGATCGTTTGTTATACCACGTATACTATGGCTAGTCGGTATCAGGTGATCGTTTGTTATACCGCATATCCTATGGCTAGTTGGTACCAGGTGATCGTTTGTTATACCGCGTATTCTATAGCTAGTTGGTACCAAGTGATCGTTTGTTATACCGCATATCCTATGGCTAGTTGGTACCGGGTGAACGTTTGTTATACCGCATATCCTATGGCTAGTTGGTACCGGGTGATCGTTTGTTATACCGCATATCCTATGGCTAGTTGGTACCGGGTGATCGTTTGTTATACCGCATATCCTATGGCTAGTTGGTACCGGGTGATCGTTTGTTATACCGCATATACTATGGCTAGTTGGTACCAGGTGATCGTAGGTGCATCTCAGGTCTTCCAATATCTGTGCTCCACTGAAACAGGTTTGCCCGCCAATATCCGCTATGGCGTGCATGCGGTACACTTGACGCTTGGCTTGATCTTTCAGGGTGTGTCTAAATTTGGCATGGGATTTGACTATTAGAGAAACCTATTTTCAGGGATGGTGGTTGTTTCGGAATCCTCTCCCTCGGAACCGGTCTTTATCCTAAGTGAGGCGTGGTATCTTTCATTGCTTCCGTCTCCATCCGCAGGATGTCTTATTATTCCCATTTTCCCTGTTGGGAAATATCATTGACTGGTGCTTCATCGAACTACTTGCCGATTCCATGCGAGTATTTTTGGTTTCGAACCACTTTATCTAACTTGTCTAACTTCCACAATTGAAGTACCGCTGCTTAACTACCGGACAGTTCTTCCGTCTGAGTCCGTTGGGATGTGATATCTTCCCTCACCCTTTGCATGCCATCCCTGGTGAGCTTTTACGGGTATCGTCACCTTGGGACCACCTCCTCTGCTCTGAACTTACGGCGTTAAATGCTGCAAGCGGGCCAACCTGCTTTGTAAGTGGGGAGCTGACTTGTCGATCGTTTCAAGGCTTGTCAACCTGTTAAATGTATGTTCCAATGTAGTGAGAGGTTTGGTTTGGTTTGTTTTACAGCATATCAACCTCAATAGGTTATTTAATGCCAACAAGATTTTAATTGCTGATAATATAGTTTTATATGTTTTTCAAACAGGTATTGCTGGTAATATATTTTTTTCAAAAATGTATTGCGGGTAATATTTTTCAAAAAAATATTGCTGGTAATAACTTTTCTTCAAAAATTTATTGCTGGTAATATTTTTTTCAAAAAATTGATCCTGGTAATAATTTTTCTTCAAAGATTTATTGCTGGTAATAATTTTTATTCAAAAATCTATTGCTGGTAATAATTTTTATTCAAAAAATTAATCCTGGTAAAAAATTTTCTTCAAAAAGTTATTGCTGGTAATAATTTTTCTTCATTGCTGGTATTAAAACCTATTTTTCCACATTTTGATACCAGTTTGGGGGTTAACTATTTGCCCATAGCTAGGACACTAACAGCTGCTACCAAGCCGGGTCAGGGTGGACCTGCGAACACTAGCAATTAAGAGGTGATTCCACGCTTCTCAAAAACTCCTGACCCAGGACGCGGATGTAGTTTATCGTCTTGCCCAGGACGCGGATGTAATTTATCGTCATCATCAGGACGCGAATGTAGTTTATCGTCATGCCCAGGATGGCCGGCCAAGTTACTTCCTCAGTTCCACTAGTTGCTGAACAAGTTGTAAATATTGGCCACATACTGAGGCCATATACTGAGGATATTTTCAACGTAAGAGCACGGGTGTCCGTCTTAAATTTGTAGGTAGGTAAATCCCGTTCACAGCACCATGTAACGTACTGTTCATCCACAGTCAATCGTGCTCGTCAGCCCAAGTCGCCAAGTATTTACATTCTCTCCTCCTCACCGCTCTCCACCGGTGACCACTTCCTGTTCGTCCCGCCTTCCTCGTGGGCCTCTCTACTCTAAAAAGTAATCGTTCTAAGAAACGCGTTAATCGAAATAATGATTTTCCAAGCATAGCTTAGATGTGGCACAAGGCCGAAAGTATGGGGCACCCAGTGAGAATCGAACTCACTACTCAGTCGTAATTGTTCTAGCGAGACAAGCTTGCTAGCCATTACGCCACCTCGAGGTGCCCAATTTTCTAAGCCCGGATTTAGATGTGGCACAAGACTGAAAGTATGGGGCACCCAGTGAGGATTGAACTCACTACTCAGTCGATAATTGATCTAGTAAGACAAGCTTTCTAACCATTAAACCACGTCGAAGTGCCCAACGCGTTAACCGAAATAAGTGCTGCGTAATTTGTTGTGTGTCTTTTTAACTGACCCTGGCACTCTTAGTGGGTGCGACTATGGGTGAGTTTATCATAGAACAGACCCTTGGGTATGCGATTGTTATTCGTACGGACGACGTGACCTGACTAAAAAGGGATTACATCCGTACAATTTTTATTTTATTTTGAGGCATTTTATTTTACATTTTGGATAATATGTGTGTTATATTTTAATACATTTTAATTTTATTTTTAATTATTTGTTATTTTATTATTATTATTTTTATTTTCTTTGATTTCTGGCGTTTACACATTTCTTTCCGGGTCCCGCCCAGGAACCTAAGGTTAGAAATGGCGTCATGACACTTTCCACTGACAAAAAAAAAAAAATTTACATAGATAAAACCCTTCGTAAAGTGTGGGCTGTACATGTCAGAACAATTTTTTGTATCTCCTTGAGGCATGGACGTCCAGGAATCCCTTCAATTAGTCTACTGCAATCTTTTTCAACCAGTCCTAGGGCTCCAACTACAACAGGGATTGTTGATGTTCCCATATGCCACATTTTCGAGATTTCTATTTCAAGGTCCTTGTATTTTGACAACTTTTGGAATATCTTCAAAGATACATTGCAGTCAGCAGGGACTGCCATATCAATAAGGAGGCACCGTTTTTGTTTGTGGTCTTTAATAACAATATCTGGGCGGTTGGCCTTGATTGTTCTGTCAGTGTGTATTGTGTAGTCCCATAGAATTGTAACAGGTCCTATCTCCGTAACCTGGTCTGGTGGTGTTCATACCAGTTTCTTTCAGTTTCCTTCCCGTCGAAGTTGCAGATTTTCCAGTGCAGATATTGGCCCACTCTGTCATGCCACATTTTATATTCAGTGGGTGCCAATGTCGTGCAACCTGATACAAGATGATCAATGATATTTATCATAGAATCTGTATTTTGGCCTGACATGTATTTTAGTACATGTGCTTGATAATTCCTAGTTAGCAAGCATTGGTCCTGTGCAGCAAGGATGAAACCTTCAGTTTCAGCTTACAACCCTGCACTACGTAGCCACTGATGGGTACGGGTTTTGTCTACGTCAGCTTGTTTGGTACGGGCAGAGTATTGGCCATGAAGCGGTTTATCTTGTCATCGCTTCTGTATCTGGTCGGTTGCATTCGTCTTTGCTGTCTTTTTTAAGTATTTTGCAGTTTCAACCGGTGTATTGTGCTGTAGTTGCATCTCTACGCCCATTTGGAACTCCATTTTGAATTTGTTGGCTTCTTTTATTACGGAGTAAAGACGCTTACTACTTTCATGTTCCTTGACGCATACCATCATCCAGTCTTCTGTAGTTTCCAAGTATCTTTGGAGGCCAATTGTTGTAGTTTTGTAGGACAGTTCTAGTTGAACTAATCCTCTGCCTCCTTCGGATCTGAGCACATACAGACGATCAACATCAGCTTTGGGATGATGCATGCGTTAGCAAGTGAGAAGCTTTCTCGTTTTGGCGTCCATTCGCTTAATTTCAGCTATGGTCCAGTTAAGGACATTAAAGCTGTATTGCACCACAGGGACAGCCAATGTGTTTATGGCCGATATTCTGTTTTTTGAGTTTAGCTCAGTATTTAGTACCAGACGTACACGCCTGTAGTACTCTTTTCTTATTTTTTTCTTCATTTGGGGGTGTTGTATGCCATCTCCTTCGCTAATTCCTAGGTACTTATAAGCTTCATCATGCTCCAGTTCCCTAATCTTTGTGACAAAATCTAATTATTATTATTATTACAAAATGTAATTATTATTATTATTATTATTATTATTTCCATGGATTTCTGTTGTTTACACATTTCTTTTCTGGTCCCAACCAGAGACCTAAGGTTAGAAATGGCTCCATGACATTTTCCACTGACCATTCTTTGTGAAAAAAAAAGAGCCCTAAGAACACACAATAGATAAAGCTCTTCGTAAT